GTTTTTCAGAAGCAAAGCCAAGATAAGAACTGAGTACCCTAGTTCCCCTACCATGCTCTCATTCAATGCCTACACTATCAACTCAAAATGCAAAACATAAACTTAAGGCTATTTCTGGGACTCTATAGCTCACCACTTTTCCTAGCACCATGTAATGGCTCTTAAAAGATGATGCATAGACAGAATAATTTTAAGGGTGGATATTCATAATGATCATAGTAAAATGCAATATTCTTGCTAGTATATCATAAAATTTGATCCCTTAAAAACTTTGATAACAAATTGGAATTTAGAAAGATGTCACGCTTCAAATAAATAATTGAAAGATTACTGAAAAGTGTTTGCCATAAAAGATAAGATTTCTGAAATTAAAAACATTAACCTCTCAAATATCACCATAATGACTACTACCACTATCTCTGACAGCACTTAACTGCAAATTGCTATCAGCCTACCATTCTGCAATTGTTACTTAGGGCACACAGGTTTATTTTAAGCATACACACTTGCAGCCCCATGTTTTCATAGTACATTCTAATCCTAAAAATAAAGTGTTCAAAATTATTATCGACCATCTCTTTCCTGAACAGGCTATTTGGAAATTGGCTAAATTGTGTTTTTCCATCAGTGGAATTTCCCAACTACGAATTCAAGAACTGATAAAAGTTATTTTATCAAGGATGGAGAAAGTTATTTGATGTGATCAAAACAATATAACTAAGTTTTTTAAGAAAGGTATTACCTTTCCACTAATCCCCCTCCTAATACTTCACTAAAACACACTTATCCCATCATTCTTGGCATTTTTTTGAAGCAGTTCTGGAAGCCCTCTTTCATGTTTTGGTTGCACTGCTGTGGCTGCCTCGGTGTCCTAAATCGATTCAAAACTTTTGCTTTTCATGATTATTGTGACTTTGGGAAAGAGCCAAAAGTCACACAGTGCGAGAATCGATGAATAAAGTGGAGGAGGACATGCCCTAAAGTTTTTATGAGCCTGCCTTTCCATTGGATGGCAGTCGGCAGCATTATTCACTATATATATTTTTTTATCACACCTCATAAAGACACTCATAAAAGAGATACGGAACTGCTTCAGAAAGTAGTAAAAAAAAGAAGATAATTGTGTCCGAAGTAAGGGGGAGTACTTTGAGGGTAATTAAAAGCACGGTTTTTAATGTGTAAAATTAGTTTTTAAAAACACACTGAATTTATGGGGAGGAGAGGAGGGGGTGAAGGGAGGGCAGAGGTAAGGGGAAAAAATGAGAATCAAGACTTGCCATGTAAAGGTACATGATCCCAACAATGAATGTAACTGTACTGTATCCCTAAAATGTACCAATAAACTCAATAAAATTAAAAAAAAAACACTGAATTTATCAGAACTTATATAGTCTCTTTCGGAGAGAGATTTGAAAGCAATGTAGAGATCTGTCTCTAAAATTTTCATGGGAGTATGATCTGCATAAGCCTATAGAGGACAAAGAAAGTTAAACAGGGTCATAGATGACAGAACAAAGCATTTGAACTTGATCCAATATGCAGAATGAACCACTATAAGTTCAGTACTGGAGTTGAATGGAAATATAATCAAAATAGGACGTTAAATAGAGCAGAACTAATCATATATAATACAGTAGATGGAAACATTGATTTCAGAAGAAATTCTAGGATACTACTGGAATAATAATGATGATAACAGTGAGAATGAAAATGAAGTACTAAATCTGTAAAATATTACTAAGAAAAATATGTTAAAATACTAATCAAAGGAATTAAACAGAAGAGCCAAGTAAAAGTTCTTCTGACTCTGCCTTGGAAACTAAAAGCATAATGGAATTACAAACAAAAATCAGTTAGCAGAGAAAGAGAAGCAGATTCTATGAACCTCGCCAATGGAATAGGAAGGCATAAATGAAGACAGCTGTAAGCCAGAACTAACCATCAGGGCTAGATCAAGATAAATGGCTGATCTTTTCTTCTGGAACTCATGAAGGAGACTCCTGGAGTCTACTCTCCAAATAAACAAAAAAGGTCTCCCAGGGCCAGGGATGTAGCTCAGTGGTGCCACCACCTGCCTCGCAAGTGCAAGGTCCCGAGTTCGATCCCCGGTACCAAAAAACCAAAAAAGGTCTTCCAAGTGGATTCAAGGCAGGCTGACAGATTACTTTATTCTGTCCTGCACACAGGACTCCCTCCGACATTACTGGATGAGATCAGGCACGTTCAGGGTGGTATGGCCGTAGACTCTCCTACATTATTGGGAGAAAGATACAATGGTATCTACAACCAAGAATCATTTGCAGAGAAATTTATACTGTTTTATAGTAATCCTGAGGGAGAGGAGATATGGATTATAAAGTTGTGCAATGATGCCCTTAGCACAAAGTATTTTGTTCGTTGGCGTAGGGGTACATAATTCCACCTCTTTCAGCTATAAACTTCCATTTAATATGCACATCATATAAATATATCACTATCCATAAACTCTGCCTCACAGCATATGGATCAGAATATAATGCCCAGGACACATAACAAACACAATAAATTGCCTAAGACAAACTTTTCATGAGAAAATAGATGATTCAGAGTGGCAATATTTCTCTCTGACTGGGAAAAAGAGGAACATGTCGAATGAACACCAAAGTCAAAAAGTCATTCCCTTGGGTACACCATGTAGAAAAAGCCAAAAATAATTTATTAAACTTCATATTTATTGAAAAGTCATATAACAAAATAGCAAAAAAATACCATGCCAGGAATGAATTGGAAGTTCACCAATATCCAGTAACAAGATGGGATGGGGTGGGAATGGCATATGTAGGATGTGATAGACTTCTATGTGGGCTTCTGAATAACTGTTTTACTAGCACAATATAATAGGGGCAAGCTAATCTATATGTATCAAATTTATGCAACGTCCTGTACAAGATAGCTAGACCATAGCTTCCATTCCTATTGACAAAGCAGCACTCTAACATCAAGTCTCAACCTATCCAACTTTTCTTGACTTTGTCTTCTCTTTGGCACTCACCATTCAATATGTCATGCAATTTCTCTTTCTGTAGCTTTGTTTATACCATCTCTTCTATCTTGAATTCATTTTCCATTCCTTTCAAGTCTGTTCATTAAAATGCTATCTATCTTTAATTTTTGTCCCATAATCAAAGTGCTTTTCTTTTTTTCTCCCTTCTTGGTTTCTTTGCCTTTATGTCTCTAAGTCTTATATTCACTCTTTTCTCCTTCATAATATGGCTTCCTTCTGCCTTAAATAGCTGTTCTAGGCCATTGTGTATTACACCCAAACCAAACTCCTTTCCTGATTGCCAAAGACTGCCATTTCCCTTGCCACCCCATTACCAACCCTAGTCTCCTCTTCTCCCACACTATTCCAGTCACACTGAGTTCTGCACTGTTCCATAAACATATTCCAGGTCACTCTGGCTTCTTGATCCAACCAAATAAAGTGCTCAATTACCAGAAAGTTAAATCAGTTACCAGATGTTTGGCTTCAAAACACTGATGGTCTGGATATACTTGAGAACATCATGATTTCTGACTGAGTGTCCATTCCTCACTCATTTGTTTCTCTTATTTACCTTTGTCTAGCTGAGATCACCAAAATTATGATTCAGATGCCTCATTATCCCACATCATACCTACCTCCACCTTACTCCTTTCCCTGAGAAGAGTAATCCACTTGAGCAGATTTGTCTTCTTCTTCCCCACCCCCTCCTTAGAGTATTTTTTCATTAAGTTTATTGGTACATTTTAGGTATACAGTACAGTTATATTCATCATTGGGATCTTGTACTTTTACACGGTGTACCTTGGTTCTTATTTTTTCACATTCCCCTGCCCTCCCTTCAAACCCTCCACCTCTCCCTATTTACAAATACTTGTTTCCATTTTTTCCTTTTCCCATATTTTTTCCTTTTCCTTCTTTCCTTTCCACTACCTCTCCCACTTCCCCTACCCCATTTAGATATTTTCTTCCTATTTCACAAAAACTGTAAATAAGGAACAAAATGTATAACTGATAATGTGAAATAGGAAGATTTGTCTTCTAACAGGAAAGAAAAGGCATCTGGGGGGGGGGTATAGGCCCTTTAGATAAGCCAAAACAGAAACCCACTGGAACATCACATATTACTTCAGCCTACTGAGACTAGGATGACTACAAAGGTGAATGTGGGAGTGCCACATGTCCAAGCACTAGAAACATGAATCTGTATAGAGACATGAAGTTCTATATCTGTTGCAAATCTGCCATCACATGTTAGTGGACTTCATTCAGAAGGTTACAAATAGTTTTTATTTAGATATCATTTTTGTTCTCAAAGTAAAAAGTGACTGATAAGGAATGTGCAATAACTTTATTATCATCATAATCAGCTGATTTTATTATATCATCATAATCAGCTGTACTTCAGCAAGTGCTCAAGATATACTGGACTCAGATGCCTGTGTTATCTTTTCTCTGGTATTTATTACCTTCTTCCTCCCAAAGCATAGCTCTTGAAACTTTGTCCTTATTTTAAATCATGCTTCATGCACGTGCATGAATTTTTTATTGTAAACCCTACATGACCTTTTGGAACGCTGAAAGTAACAAAAGAGACAGAGGGCAAGTGACAGAGTCAGGATGAACTAGTAATCAAATTGCTTTGTCAGATTAAAGATAAATACATTTTCAGTAAGTTATACATCTTACATGGGATATATTTAAACTAAAAACATATTCATGATTTCTCTGAAATTCAGATTTAACTGATAAACCTGTACTTTTATTTGTGAAATCTGACAACCCAGGGGGATTTTCCTGCTCTTTCTCTTCCAAAGCTGCACAATCACATGAGAAAGGATACAGGTTTCATTTGCCTGAGCCACTAACAACTGCAATACAAACAACTTTGAAAGTCACAAACAGAAGTAAAAATAATAATGAAAAAACCTGCATAGTAGAATAAAGTCTTAAATGCAACAAGATCTGTAACTCAAACCTTTGTTGGTGGCTGGTCAGGGATGCAGTTTATCAGTTCCAGTTCATCTATCACTGGGCATGCAGCATCTGGGGTTGTCTCAGGACCTAGGGCCATCCCAAAAGCAAACTTTAAATGTCACAGGCACTCAATAGCCCCATAATCTCAATGCTTTCAATAAATTAATACAACTACTCACTGGACTTAACTCTGATATCCTCCAGTTTATGTATTTCACTTTATAAAGCATCATTTTGTTCTTACTGATTGTTTTTACCTCTCTGTACCAGCACTATCTCCCTCTACTCCCAAACCCATACTGCCTCCCTACAGGACAATATGTACAGGAGAAAAAACTCTACCATTACATTAGAAGTCGATGAAAATAAGAACCAATTTTCCTTTTACTCTAAGGAAACTATGGCCTTCAAAGCAAATCAGGTTAGAGCCTATTTTTTAAATGAAGTACTGCTAGAACACAGACATATTCATTTGTTTATAGTTGCTTTTATACTCTAAAAAACAACATTAAGCAGTGATGACAGAAACATTCGGCCCACACATATTTGCTACCTGCCCTTTCAGACAAAAGTTTGCAGATCACTGCTCTGGTCCTTGATTCCACCCCAGCCCCTGACACACACAGATCACGTGCAATAAGAGACATCCTAATCTCTGCACTTCAGTTCTGCTCACATGCCAACAGTCCACCCACAGGAAAAGCACATTCCTGAGCAGTGGCATTCTTCTGTACATACGAAAACGCTAATGACAAATATGCAAAGGGAACTTGTCAGTCTAGAAACAGAAAGCTAGAGCCTACCCCAGAGCTAAAGAAATTTGGTTTAATGATCAGTAAAACAAAACAAAACAGCACTTTAATGCATTCTACTATGAGGAAGTGAATTTTCTTTAAGGCTTTCTGCAATGCTAGAGTTAATAATGACATTAAAATAAAAAGCTGAGGCTTTTGAATAGTATTGAATAGTTTTCTTTCACTGGTGTGTTAAACAAACTGTATTTGTATCAGTTTCTGCATAAGGCTTTTAATTCCATCTTTAGGATCAGATGTTAACTGAGCTTTAAACAGAGTGTTTAAGAATTGAATAACCTTTAAGATTATGTAATCTTGGGTGGGGGATTTAGCTTATTGGTTCCACCTCCTGCCTCACAAGTGCAAGGTCCCAAGTTCAATCCCTAGTACAAAAAAAAAAAAAAAAAAAAAATCATGTAATCTAATCTTCTACAAAAACTAGAAATCTTTCCAGCTGGGAATGGCATGAAAAGCAAAGAAAGCTTTCCTGTAGCTGCAACCTGGCCCTGCATTGCCTGGTTTCCCTAAGAAATTGAAGACATTTATAGTTAAATGGATGCACATTGAAGTGATACTCAAGTGAAATAAATAGGACACACAAGTGTAAATACCAAATAGTTTCTCTAGTGTGAAAAACTGAAAGTGTAAATAAGGACTAAAAGGTATAATCAATAAAGTGAAATAGGAAAAAAAGGGACAAAGAGCAAGGGGAAATGGGAGGGGTAGGGGAAAGGAAAGAAGGGAATAGAATTAATAAGAGAAAATGAAAAATAATAGAAACAGTCTTTGTAGATAGAGAGGGAGGGAGGAGTTGAAGGGAGGACAAGGGAATGGGGAAAAAATAATAACCAAGATTGATTATGTAAAGGTACAGACTTCCAACAATGAATGTCATTATACTGTATACATTAAATGTACCAATAAAATTAATTTTTAAAAAAAGAAAGAAATTGCTCCTCCTAGATTAATCAGATAGGAAATCCTGGATAATGCAGCTTAATCCAGCCCATCTTTGGGGAAATAACAGTTCAATAAACTTTTAATACAATAACTTGGTTGTTTTTCTTTCCTGAAGGACCAAATTTAGCCCTAAAATACTTTAATTACTTGTTTAACCACCTTTTACAAAAGCATATTGTTCATCATCATTAACAAAATTTGAATTATTCAAATGAAATTCAGCAAACTTATTCCATGTCAATTTTGGAACTTAATCCAGGGCACTAATTAATTTGGAAAATGAAACATCAAAAGTTAAATCTATAAGGATTATATTCTAAACTGCTACAATTTTAATTAAATGTTTCCCCAATCATGTACAACTGGTACACACAGACACACACACACACACACACACACACTCACACCAATAAACATGAAAGCATTGTTTCCTACCACTGATGATGGTTTTATTCTGACAAGAGCAAATTATAGAAGGAGAGCCCAAGAGTTCCTTGTTACCTTTTGATTCTGCAGGACCTTTGGCTAAAAGAACAATTAGAACGACAGCAATGATGAACAATGCAAGCAAAAGAACGCTGAGCACAATCTCCAGTGTGGTAAATTTTTTCAATTTCTTTCTTGCCATCTATAAAACAGAGAAAACAATATTAGACTTCAATTTTACTAAGCACTTGATTATAAAATTTTAAAAATTTAATAGAAAAGCTCAGGTGTACAAAATGAATAGTATAATAAATCTCCATGCACTCATAATCTCAATTTTTTTACAAAAAAGTCAACTCACGGCCAATCTCATCTTTGTTTCTATTTTTTTTGTATCCCTAATCCTGGAATTTTTTGAAGATAAACTCAGGTTTCATGTATTTAACCTAAAAATATTTAAGTATATTTTAAAAAATAAGAAATTTTAATATTTTACAATAATTCCTTATTATCAAATATCTTAGTCAATTTTGAAATTCAGCTCATATGATAAATTCTATTTGTTCTACTCTCTTAAGGATGCAATCATGATTTTTATACTGTAATTTTTTATATCTAAATCCTTTTAATCTAGGCAATTTATTCTCTATAGATTTTTCTCACAATCTGGATTTTGTTAATTGCATTCACATGCATTCTAAAAAGTTTCTCTAATAATGGAAATTAATCTAGATCTAGAGTTTTGATCCAATTTAAGTTTATTTGTTTTAGTAGCAATGGCCATAGATGGTATGCTGTCTTCCAGCAAGAGGCATAAAATCAATCTGATTCTTTTGTATGATATTAACTGCCTCTAGTATTTCCCAGAATGATTATTTCATTGGGAATTATGAAACAGTGAGGCTGTGATTCTTTCATTATTTGTTTGGTGAAATATTTCTATAGACATAAATTTCCTCATCTATTTGGCTCACAAAGACTCAGTTTATGAAGGAATGTTTATGAAGGATAAATGCTTAACTCTTTACAGGTTTTCAAAATAAAATTTTTCCTTAGCATCTTTTAAAGAGGAATAAGAATAGTTGCTATTGTTTTTAAACATCTTTATGAAATCATAAATTAAATGCATGTGATCTGTCTTAATCCAGTGATTATAAGAATTCTCATATTTTCTTATCTTTTACCAGCAGGAATACACTGAGTCCAATAGTAGTCCTGCTTTCTGGCACAACACAACACTCTAGGTTCAGTCTAGGCTCATACATTCCTTGCGCCAGGTATGAATTATTATAAACTGTAAGGTGCCCCTGTTCTTTTTAGTGAGACTAGTATTTAGACACCACAATCTAGGTGAGAACTGATAAAATTTAACTGAAGGTATCTTGTATAGCATCTCAGCCAGGTGTTTCTTTTTAGATTTCCCAAGGAGTCCTTGAGGAGTTGCAATTTCAAAGAAAGATGAAAATACAGAAATTATATACCTGTAACTACAGTTTGAACATATGTGCCCCCCATATTCATGTGTTGATACCCATATGATAGTATTAAGAGTGGACCCTTGGAGGAAGTTCTTACAGGGCATTCTGTCCTCATACCACTCAGTCTTTTTGTGGAGTACTGTTACACAGTTAACAGCTGTCCTTATTGATTTCTTCTCCATATGACCTTCCTATCTGGTAAGTGCTTTATGGCCCCATATGTCAGGTGGCATATTCATATCTGAGATCCAGGTAGAGAAAGCTAGAAAGATCCAAGAGCGGCAACCTGGTTCGTTCAAAGCCTGCTTTCTTCCCTGATCCATTCACCACTCCTTCACAGGTAACCTTGAAAAATCACACTCTATTTATCCAAAAAGAACATGCCCTCCCTACTTCCCTCAGTCTTAATTCCTCAGTCCCTAAGATTAGAAACTGTGCCTTTCATTGCGTCCTCATTATCCATCCCATCAATGTGTCCGCACTTATTCATCTCAGTTCAAAGTAGCCTTCCTCAAGCTCTTTGTCCAAGTATTAGATGGCAAAAGGATACATGACTTCTCATGTATTGATAAAGAAATATGCTGTTGGTCAATGAAATTCAGTCTTACCATATAAAAAGAAATGGAGCTAAAAGCTACTATTTTCTTGTTGTTGTTTTTGTTTTTTGAGACAGGGTCTCACTATGTAGTTGAGACTGACCTGGAACTCACTATGTATCCCAGGCTGGTCTCAAACTCACAGTGATCCTCCTGCCTCAGCCTCCCAAGTGCTGGGATTACAGGTGTGCACCACCATGCCTGGCTTGGCTACTGTTTTCTTTTTTTCCTATAACAAGAACTGTTATTTTTTCTAGAATAAATTATCCCAACTGTAGTCTTTCTTACACTATATCTATTACTTTTTATTCTTTTATAAGAAATTCCATAATATTAATCTTTATTATAAAATTGCACAATGATTAATAATCTTCCATACTTGATAAAATTAAATGAGCTAATAAGGCAAAGAGTTGATCTTATGTTCACTGACAGAGAGAATTTATCAGAATGCAATTCAAGTACCACGTCTTTTTCTCTTTGGTTATTGAAAATAGTTGTGAGAAGAGTGTTATTTAAACTAATATTTTTGAATTTTTCCAAATGTTTATTAACACAGTATGACAGACACTATAGAGAAACACCCACACATTACTGATCAAATTATAATCACCATATGCACTATGGAGTCTTGGTAGCTATTATTAGTATATCCATAATCCAAAAATTCCGTTTATAGAAATCTCCCATAAATGCACTTAAACACTTGGAGATCAATGTATATAGAGATAAAGGTTTTTCATTACATGAACCATCAAAAATTGAGGACAGTATATTGTAACCCTAGCGAAAGTATTGAGTAAATTCAATATTATTCAAAATCACATGGTGACCTTTGTTCAAAGTCCAAAAATTCTATGAAACTCCAAGTTGCTATTTGATAATTTGTTATGGATGCTGAAATACCTTGTTTGATCAACACATTTTAATACTAATTATAATTATAGTTTATAATGATTGAGCAAATGTGCTAAGAGTTTTCCCTAATATGTCACATGCCATCCAAATAACCCCAAGTGAGGTACTCTGAGTACCCCCAGGTTCCAATGAGGAAATGAAGGTTCACTCAGGTCTTATAACTTGCCTGATGTCACATAGCTGATAAGGAGCAAGGTCACTATTTAAACACCTGACCTTTGGACTCTACAGCCAAGGCTTTAATCCATTACTCTATAATCTATGTTCAATGCCCCATGGTATACGCCAGCTTAGGCTTTTTGTGAGATTGTAGTTTTATCAGGTTTGCATCTGGCTCATTCAGCATGTGACTGACATATACATGGAACTAGGCTGAGCCCTTACATGCATTTTGTACATACATTATTTTATTTAGTCCTCATAACCATTTTAAGAATAGAAATTATTATCTCCATTTTACAAATGAATTGACAGAGCTTTATTGAAGGTAGGTTGCCCAAGGTGCAGTCTTCTCTAGTAGCAGATTCAGGCTTCAAACCAAGCAATCTGAATCCAAACTCATTGCTTTTAGGGCTCTCTTCCACCACCTCCTTCTATATGATGCAAATACAAAAAAAAATCTATACACCCGTGAATAATAACTTTCTAACTTAAGTGAGGTAGAATAAGTGGAATACAACCATTAAGCTAAAAGCCTTATGAAAACAAAAGGAAATGACAATTCTGCAACATTTCTGTCCCCATAGATCCTGGGGGACTGAAAGTGTTCCATAGGTACCTTTCTTAAATTTATGATATACAACACTGTTTTAAATTCTCTATAAAATCAGGGGGGACAAGGTACTGATGTGTCTCATTTCTCAGTTTTATTTGCCATTAGATTATTGAAGGGTAAAAAAGTAAACCTGTTTGCAGTTTATTTGTTCATCAGTGTTTTTATAAAGTTTCTGCAATGTTCCAAGCAATCTTCCAGGAGCTGGTTAAGCAACCATGAACAAAATCCCAGCTCTAGTGGAACCTATGTTCTTCTGGATGAAAAAAAGAATAATTGTAAATAAAATACAGTAGATTAAACTATATGAAGGCTATAGAGAAAATGGAGCAGGAGAAAAAGATGAAGAATGGGAGAGTGAGGGTTATAATTTTTAAAAGTTTGATCAGGAAAAATCTCATCCAAAAAGGGAGAATTACTATGCATAGTATAGAGTCCATGTTGTTTCTTCTTGAATTGCATGGTTATATGAATAATTGTCAAAGCTCATTTTTCTGACACTGTTATAGTTATTCAGGCAAAGTAGAAAAGCCATGTATAAAATGGATGTGCAAATTAATTTAGAAAATTAGATAACTCTTCTTCTTTCTGAATTATAGCCAGTGTCTGATTTGTGTATCAAGAGCTCAGTTATTACAGTGTAAATCCTATAATAACATAAGCCAAGACATCTAGTGGAAAAGACAAGGTTAGTTTTATGCAGATTAAGGATAACTTGCAAAGAACCCCACAGAAAGTATGGCTATTCCTCAAAATTACTGGGCAATATTTCACATGTTGCTCCATTGTATCCAGGATAGCTAGAGAATGAGAAGGGAAAAAATTACTAATCTTTTTGCTTGTTTTTGTTTTTATTTTTTCAAGTCTTGTCACATTCAAAGTGCAGAGTTCTAAGAGTAAGCTCTGACCCTACCCAGCTATGTGACTTTGGAGGAAAAAAAAATTTGGACCTCTGGACCTCAGTTTCCCCATATGAATCACAAAAAGATCATCTCTAGAAGACAACTATTATATCCTTCTATAGGCCCAGGCCAAGAACATACAAGAATTTATCTTTCTCATCACACTGTGTGGCTATCATCTGAACCAATTATTTGGGCAGGAGGAATTGTTTGTTTGTTTTTGTGTTGCTGAGCATTAGACCCAGGGTCTTCACACAGACCACACTGGCATCTCCTACATCTACAGCTTATTAGCTTATTTATTTATTTATTTATTGACAAGATCTTGCTATGTTGACCTTACTACAATGACCTCATTATGATGAATAAGCTGGGCTCAAACTTGCTATCTTCCTGCCTCAGTCTCTCAGAGTTCCAAGAGTACATGTGCTCACTACCATGCCCAGATTGAATGCATTTTAAATAGAAATTTTTTTCCTCTAGGTCCACCTATTCAGTATTTCATATTGCTAATAGAAGTCTTTGCAAAGTCATTGTATTAGCAAGAGAGCTTAGATCTAGAATACAGGATAGACTGTTATCCCTCTTCCATTGGTCCCTGGTAGCACAAGCACCTACCCAGCACAGCAAACCAAAGACTCTTCCCTCTCACCCACTCCCTGTCCACCTCCACATACTCACTCAGGCACACACCTGACACAAGACCAGTAGAGGGTGTGGAGATAGGCCAGTCCTCAGACAGCACCAAAGTGACAGTTCAAATCCTTGGGATTGATTTTGACCTCTCTCCTTTCCCCAGTAGGAATTTGCCCTTCCCACATCAGTAACCAGTTAGAAAAGAGATGCCCTGCTAGACTTGTCCAGTAAGAACTCAATTCTTGAGTTTTACCAGGGAGGTGCCAATAATGACCCTCCTTCCCTTCTTCCTCCAGGACATCCATTCTATTTCACACCTAACTGCCAGCTCAGATACCACTTCTTTCCTTCATGGCCCCCTTTTGAATCCCATATGAGATCCTTCCTGACCTTCGCCATGCACCACTCATACATACATCCCGGAATTATACACATACACACATTCTTAGAGTCTTCCCTAAAATAATTCTATATTTGATCAACAAAAGCATCAAACCCCTGAGGATGGTAACAGATTCCACAATTTCCTATTACCATGGATTCGGTAATTATCATCCTTTCTCACACTTCTACAAGTTTTTTAGAAGGAATGTCCAAAATGTTCAAGTCTTACTACCAAATTCTAACTCCTTTACCTCATATGCCCCGCAGCATTTCTAGAATTCCTACCTGCAACCTCACCCTGTGTATTAAATAATACCTCACATCTCATCAGAGACACACACACAAACACACAGATTTAGCTCCAATCAGGCGTCTAGATCAAGCTGAGACCAGAGGAATACACACACATACACTCACACATGCATACATGCACACGTACATACACACAGAGGAAAATGTTATTTATTTTTGTCTATAACAAATTAACAAGGGCATTTTGACTGAAACAGATCAGCACACATTTGAACATACACATTGGTAGCAGTAAGTGAATAAGCAATTCACAAACATACCTCATTATCTCCTGCAGCTGCTCCTGCTCCCTCAAAGGACCAATTCACAATAAAGCCGAGAAATGCAATCCACAGAAAGCAACCCCTGTTAAACTGTTTATTGGCTTATCAAGACCAAGTTAATGATTCAAAATGCAAATCACTGCCCAGCTATCCCTTTCATGTTCAAAATTGTTAATCAGTAATCTCAGTCTTCCTCTGAGGAGGACATCCCTAAACCTTACAGCAAGAAGCCACTGCCCTAGTCTACCCCATCCCCTCAGGCTATTGCAATATTTATTCCATGATGAGGACACTCAATGTGTCTGGTAAGAGAACACAGGACTAACTCAATTTACAGACATAAGGACAATAAGGGGCAAAAAATAATTGAGCTGGTGTCACAGAACTTTGGTCTCTCCTAGTAAGCCCCAGTCTCCCAGGAAACCATAAATATTTAGTTGCAATATGCTAATTTGTGATGAGGGAAATTGTTTTGAAAATGTTTCCAAATATGTTCTCTTATTTTCTTGCCACTATAACAGTTGTTCTTAAGCTTTATTATGCTATGGATATCCTTTGGCAGTCTGACATTTGCTATGGGACACAATTAGAATTATATTTTTAAATGCATGAGATAAAATATGGACACAAAGGGAACTGATACCATTAAAAGTTACTAGACTATTTTCAATTGCAATATGTGCCTCTTTAATTATACACTAACAATATGATGGAATGCATAATAGCAATTGCGATTTCTAAAGAGTTTTAAAACTGAACAATATTTCAATATTATCTTAAATGTAGGATATGAAAATAATGTAAGCGCTCTTGGAACCAAAGTCATAGGTACAGCTAACACTACTGTGGTTTGCAGCCTAACTTTACACTAAAAAGAAAGAGAAAAATATGAGAAATGAAAAAATGGAAATAAAGTGTTTGTAAATGGGGAGGAGGAGAGGGGGTAAGGGGAGGGCAGGGACAAGGGGAAAAATGAGAACCAAGACCACCTGTCATGTAAAGGTACAAGATCCCAGTAATGACTGTAACTGTACTGTATACCTAAAATGTACCAATAAACTCAATGAGTAAAAAAAAAGAAATGTTAAATTTCAATTAGAAGTTATCCAAGAAATATACACAGTTTCCCTTCCAGTTTCAACAAGACATCTGAATTTCTATCCAGGAACTCCAGATTAAGAACCCTGCTATCATGAAGGGGACCTTCTTCAGAACAGAGAAAATCCTCCCTAAATGTGATCTAGTCCTCCCTCATGTACCAGTCCTCAAAGAAATAAGAACAGAAATTGAAGATAGGAGTTGAAAAATTTTTGTTACATGTCAGAGAAATTTGACATTCAACAACTCTAAAGATTTTTAAACAGAGCTTGCATTCATATATCCTTGTTTTAATTTTGTTTCTTTAGTAATTTAGTTTTAATTTTATAAAAGTCACAGTCTGAAACATACTGAGAAATGAAAATAAAAATAAAATCTGCTGTCTTACTGCACATAATTTTAAAAGCTTAACTATTGCTGTTTTGGGGCTTTGGTTTTTATGGACCAGGGAAAATTCGGCAAATATTGAGCCAAAGGACATGAATTTAGGAAGTGACTATCACCTGGAAAGGCTAAACAAATGTCATCATCTCTTATCATGGCCATGTCAGAGCAGACACAGGTTTGGACAACCAAAATGAAATCAATTTATCCCTTTCAAAAGTTCACTTCTCTATCCTTTTATTTCTCATTTCACTGGCCACTAATGAAAATGCTGTAGGAATCAGCAAAGTCTGACTCCAGGCTTTGGGTAAAATGGATGAATTTGCTATCGTGAAATCAAAAACTTTAGATCTAAAAGAGGACAGAAAAGAAACTGACTTGCAGAGAGGCCTACTGGGTATCAAGACCTCTGCTTGGGGCACCTTGTTGATATTCATGATTGCCCCAACCAGCTCCAGAGCCTCTGTGGGTTGAAACATTTGGTTTGACCCTGATGAACTGTAAGATCAGCAAGGATAGTTGTCTCATTCTAAAAATAAAGAAACCAAGATCCAGGAATGTTGTGAGGCATATATGGGTGCTTGCTAAAAGATCCAGATCTGTATTCAATGCCCAAGTCTGCTTACCTATGTAGGGAGCTTAAGCAAGTAACCCTCTGTTTCCCTCAATTTAAATGAAGATAAAAAATGGTATCTGCCCAATATAACAAATAAAGTAATGCAAGTAAAACCTTTGATGTTACATAAAAACCCAGTAAACATGTTACAATTATTAGGATTGTGATGAACTGCCACAGACCTTGAACACCAATCAGAAGTTCCTTTAATTATGTCAACCTCTCACTCTACCCTAGATCAGAATTCTGAACACAGGAGATGAAATGTGTTTAAAATTTTTTCTCAAGCACTTATTTTGCACAAAACCCCATACAACATATTGATATCTATGATGTTGCTAGATGGCAGTAGTTTAGAGGTTTAGCTTTAAGCTCTTGTACTCAAAAAGTTAATTTAGGTCAAACCAAAGTACAAGTACTATAGTGTCTACAGTGGCTTGCTGCTTGGTGACAGTGTTTTCCCTGGGGAACTCATGAAAACTGTGTACTTAGGAACCATAAAGAAAGACTAAGCAAGTAGGAGAACAAGCAAGGTGATAACAATGTCTCTGCCTCCCCATTCTCCACCCACTATCCTTAGGAGACCTTCAGGACCCCACATCTGAATCAAGCTATAGGCCCTGAGCTGCCTTCCCTGCTTCCAGCCACAGAAAATACAAGAACAAACTCTTACTGATACAACTCAATTCAACCTATAGTTTTTGTTTGTTTGTTTGGGATGTTTTGTTTTGTTTTGTTTTGTTGGTCCTGGGAACAAACTCAGGACCTTGCATTTGCAAGGCAGGTGCAGGCACCACTGAGCTAATCCCCAGCCCCAACATGTAGTTTTTATATGTGCACTAACAACAAGGTACCATCAGAATAACATCAATAGAATGCTTACACTGGCCTATGTATTATGCTAGCTGATCCACAATTCACATTAATTATTTTATTTCTTCCTCTTAATTATACTGAGAGGCAGATACTGTCATTAGCTCTCAAGATGAGGAACTCCAGGCATAAACAACAATTTGCTTAAGGCTATATAAATGGTAGAATCAAAAGTCAGGCATTCTGGTCAAGTTCCCCCATGACCCAATAGTTGAGAGAGTGTAAGAAGTAATCAGATATGAAACAAAAACAGATGACAGCATCACCCAATACTGTGGGAAGCAGAATACACACATAAGGAGCAACAAATGACAACCCAAAAGCAGGAGTGGGAAAGGATATTTTAGACCAAAAGAGTAGTGTCAGGGTTGTTTTGGAGACTTCAGCAAATAGATACAGGCTGGGAGAGAGGTGTGGAATGATTAGGGATACAGTTGGATAATTACACTTCTATGATGTAGAAGTTCTAGCATCTTGTCAAGAACGTTTCTTTATACAAAAGGAAACCAGTGAAGGTCAGAAATTTCCTAGAACTGTCTTAAGTATGAACTAAGTTTCTGAGCTTTCTGCCTAGGACTCAAAACACTGGATCATCTGCCATTTTCAGTGTTTAGTCACAAAGAACATTTTTTCCTCCCATGCCTCCAAGAAGACCAGTAATATAACCACAAAGGACCCTGGAAGCTGCATGAGGTGCATGTTAATTGGAATGATGTGCAGATATGAAGAAGAAGGAGAATATGTATGTAAATCTTTAGCATATGTAGTCCATAGTAAGCACTCCACAAGTGTTATTATTGTTATTCTGATATTCCCCCTTTCCTGGAATTCTAATGCAATAGTACACTTAAAAATACTTTGTTTTTTGTTGCATTTTCCTAAATGCTAAAAGGAGTCTTAGCCATCTATCAGGTCCCTGCTAGCTGAGCTTCCTCAAACTCTCTTTCAAAACCAGACCCACCTGAGGAGCCTATTCTGACCACTGATCTCAGAGGCACTCATGAATCCCAGTGTGTATTCTTTATCATCTTTTCATTGAACATAAGTTCATGGATCCTTCCTTTCTGGAATAAAGTCCTTTTAAAAAGTAACATTCTTATCTGTCTGAATTTTGCCAGAAATAGACCATGATTAGGTTAGGTGTCTCTGAAAGTATCCTTTTAATCTGAAACTGTTGAATATAATATTTAGATAAAAGACCAATAATTTTGGAGAGTGTTTTCATTTCAAATAAATAAGGGCACCCAGCCATCAACATAGTATCAGAAAAAACTAGAGTCTTGAAATGAAACTAGTCTGGCCTTGTATATTAGATTCTCTGCTTTTTAGGTACATACCTTTGGCAATAAAAATTCCAAAGTTCAGTTGTATTATCTGTAAATTAAGAATTATAATATGAACTCATAATGTCATTTTGAACCTAAACTAATATAATAAATATTAATATATAATGTTATTTTCCCAGCCCCTCCCTAACTTATCTTAACTTACTGAAAGTAAAATGTTATCAAAAAGCAGTATCATTAGCTTAAGTACTGTTAAGAAATGTTCCTCAAGTTTATCAAGCCCTAAGATCAGCCTCACTGGATAAGACCAGAAGGAAGTGGCTTTTCCATCAGGGACATTAGGACAGACAAGTGGTGAACAGTTAGCACCCCCCTACACACCTTGTGAACTGCTTCTATGAGCTAGTGGAGGAAAACCAAATCTATATTCGCCCCCTTCCCCGTACATGCCATCTACACCCTCTGCCTGTCAAAATGAACGAATGGTTTTTCACAATCTCCATAGCCCACAAATTTGAAATGTACCTCTTCATTTTATTTCAGCCAAGTGACTTTTCTTCTTGTATCCCACATATAAGTCCTTCACATCCTAGGGTATCTCAAAAGGGAGAAAAGGAGTTCAGAGGAGGAGCAATTTCTCTTCTCAGAAATGTTCTGAGGAAGGTGAGAGGAAGGTAAGAATAGAAACTACATACTTAAGATATTGCAGCACTTCCTTCTTCTGCGAAATATCTACTGTTCAGCAGTTTTACACCATCTTTCATCCTCTCCCACCTCTAGCAACACAGACAGGAGCACGTG